GCTCAGGACGGCACCCAGGAGCCAGGGGCCACTGACCGAGGAGGAAGACGCACAAATGCCACGACGCAGGGACCCTAGCCAAGGCCAGGCCCTCACCCACGCACGCGAGCTTCAGCGTACGCAGCACGGCAGTGCGGGGCGAGGACTGAGCTGGCTGCATGTCCGTGCCCCGGGGCAGCACACCTGGGTTCAGAACCTGAGCTGGCTCTTTCTAGCTGGCGTCATCCCTGGGCCTGTCCCGCCAATCTGTAAAGAGGGTCTGGGGCACAGGACGAGCCGAGGTGGCCTGGCTAAGCTGAGAGGCCAGGGCCTAGCAGACCAACGTGCTCACAAGCACCAGCGTCGTTGTCACCACGAGGGTCAGGGCTGGGTGGACGACCCCAGTTCTCACACCTCTCTGTGCATGCCACTCCTGCCTGTGGCCGACGGGACAATCGCAAACCCAAAAGCAGTGGCTTCGAAATGAGTCTGTTCCTGACTCCCCGTCAGGAGAGGAGCCTGGGTCACCGCCCCAGCAGGCACAGATGCCACAGAGCAGGGCAGCCATCACGGGCAGGCTGAGTCACTGCCAGCGCCTGACCCTCAGGGTGGGCCCCGCGTGCCAGACAGAAATGCTCAGCTAACGTCTGGCTGCAGGAGAAGTACATGAGGCTGTCCCAAGATACTGAAGAGCGGGCTGTTTTGTTACACAGCCGTGGCTTGCTGACAGCTACCGACCCATCTCACAGACGGGCAAATCGAGTCTGTAAGCATAAAGCAGCTACCCCCAGCTGAAAAGAGAGGAGCTTCAATTAGAGCCCCATCCCTCAAACTCCAACAGCAGAGGGGTCTGCTCTCTCTGCCTGCGTCTGTCGCTTTGTCTGTCTCTCTCCCTCTCCTGTGGGTGCCTGCAGTCCTGGGTGGCACACAATGAAGAGCTGATGAGAAACGGGAGCAGGGGAGGATGGACACACGGAATCCCGAGCATGAAGCTCCGTCCTGGCCCTCCTCCCTAGGGATGGGTTGGACTCACCTGGTGCCCACAGGCACCCTGATCATGTCCACAGCGAGACTACACCCTCGGGAGGGGTCTCCATGGCCCTGGACAGTGGAGGGACATCGCTTTTTTCCCAAACCCCGGGGCCCTCGTGGCAACGCACCCTAGGCTCAGACAGTCCAGGCCCCAGGCTCTGCCGCCTCCCTGGGGACAAGATGCCACCCTAAAGCCGGCATGGCCTGCTTCTCCCATCCTCCCTCCCGAAGTGCCAGGCAGACATGGGCTTTTCCACACCAACTCCAGGGCTAAAACAGCAGGGTCAGTGAACAGTGGGAGGTGGGGGCCTGAGCCCAGACTCCGGAACTTTCCATGGAAAGACGTGCCCACAGAAGGCTGCGATCCAGGCCCTGACTGGCCCGCAACTCCGCGCCAGATCCTTCGTGGCTCCTGAACACGGAGCAGCCACATCAGGCAGGCTCACAGGAGGGCACCGTGGGGCAGTCAGACTCCAGGACAAAAGCAGCCCGCCTGGAATGCTGTCCCCTCCGGCTAGCTACGCCATGTGGGGACAATGCCCTTGGCATACAGACAACTTCCACACCTGGGAGATGGGGATGGGCCGGGGCCACCTCGGGGTTCCTAGCAGCCCCGGAAATGCCAGGTTGCCAGTCTGTTCGCCTGGGTCCAGTTCTAAAGAAGCGGCTGAAGACCACTCTCGGGAGTTCATGGTGGGCAGGGAGGGGGCAGAAAAGGGGAGCCTGACCCCCGGCAGGGACAGCTAAGTCAGCTCTGACCCCCCAAACCTGCGGCCCCCTGCCCCGCTAAGAGGGGGACACAGGGCAACCTGCACCTCGACATGGCCCTCGGGAACATCCCTTGACTCTGATGACAGGCGCCCCACTGCCTCTGAACAGAAGGGCCGCCCTGGGCTGAGGCCCAAGGAGACGCTAGGCCAGGACACCCTGGGGAAAAAAAAATGCCACCGTCACCATGGCAACAGGCCACAGGGCTGCCCTGTGGGAAGGCACAGAGGGGCAGGAGGTGAGGACAGTCCTGGATGGAGTGCTGCTGAGGGAGGCCCCCAACCCCTAACCACCCTCTGCAGACGGGCACCCCAGTCGAGGTCCGCTCTGTGCCAGAGCGGCCTCAGACGCCATCACACCCAGGGCCAGGGCCACCTCCCAGTCACATCCTCCTGCCAGGGACACTGCATGGGGACACAGTATGACCGAGGGGCATCCCTCTTCAGCCTAGGGTGACAGAAACCACCAGGGGAATCAGGCCAAGGCCCGGGGGCTCTCTCTGAGCCTGCAGCCTCCTGAGAAAACTGGGGTGCAGACGATGGGGTTGCGTGGGCAGGAAGAGGGCCTGGGGAGAGAGGAGGGCTTGGAGCAGGCAAGCAGAAGTGTCAGGCCAGCCCTCAGCCTCCAGTGACACCCAGCTCTTAAAATAACACCTCTGCACAGGAAGGAAGCCAGTGACTCAGGCAAGGGGGCCCAGCTCTAAAAATACCCCCTCTGCACGGGAAGAAAGCCAGTGACTCAGGCAAGGGGGTCAGGCTGCCCCCACACTCGCCACTGTACCACCTGCTCCCGCCAGCCAGCTGGGAGGGCCAGGCCGGGGGTCATGCAGGAGCCTGGGGCCCCGGGAGCACCGCCCGCGCCCACTCCCTGCCCGAAGCCTGCCCCTCCCCTCCCCACATGGCCCCCAGCGCTGGGCAACACCCACGGGCTTCTATCCCAGAGGGCGGGGGCACCCGGATGGCCGGAGGGTTCCCTTCCTCGGCTGGCTGCCCCTGGCTACACGCCGTGGCTCCAGACGGGAGACCCAGGGGCCCACACTCCCCAGGGCAGCAGCGCCAGGCTGTCCCTGACACCAGGGGGCCCTGCGAGGGTGCACCCCACGCTCACTGTCTAGAGGGCACATCAGGCCACCTGGGGTTCGTGGAAATCAAGCCAGAGGACGGGCCTATGCAGAACTGGCCAGCAGCACCCCGCCCCACCTCCTGCTATGTGACCCTGGGCAAAGCACTGCCCTCTCTGAGCCTCACCCAGAAAACCGGGAACTACGGCAGATCCATGACAACAGACGTGGGAGGTACCTGTTAGTGTGTCCCCGAGGGCCACACTGCCGAGGCCTGCTGGCTTTGAGAAGACTCCAGCTGGCAGCCTCTCCAAGGAGGGCAGGCTGGGCCTCCATGCTGCAGCCCCGAGGGAACCTCGACTGAGCGCC